CCATTTTGTAAGTTTATAAAAACAGAAAACTTTATAAAGTATAAGGTATGTTTAATATAAAAATATTTTCAGATCACAAAAACCAATTAACATTTGTGCAAAGTACAGGCATATAGTGAAATTATTTGAAATTTTGAGATACCCACAAATCAACATTTGCTGAATGTGATTAAATTAATTTGGATGGCATTTTAAACATTTGTCATGCAGTACAATCGTAAGTAGCCTACAATTCAGATTTTCCTTCTATTCCCCTTATTATAAGGCACAAAATCCTTCAGACTCATGAAAATGACTGTCGATCCTTCTCACTCTTCAGAATAGGAGGACAGTTTTCATAGTTTAGATGAGAATGACCCGGAGGCAGGAGTGTAGTGAGATGTAAGACGCTCTGCTTCTCTCCAGCCGCTCAGCAAAGCTCCATGAACTGTAGAGAAGAAAGACCTGTGTGTGGCTTCTCCTGCAAATAACACCTGCAAAGACTGCAAAAATAAAGTGTCACTCATATTATATTATCAATTAACAAAGTAAAGAAGTGTCAAGAGTAAAGAGAAAATGTCTATATATAGCGTACTGTTCAAAAGAAGAATGAAATCTAGTTGCTTGAACAAACATTGACAAAATGAGAGTAGGTGCACCTTAGAATTTGAGCCTTTCAGCGGCAAGGGTTCAGCAAGGTTATCTATGTCATATCCTGAGCAACCTTTGGCCACATAGGTGTAAGATCTACAGGAATAGGGTTCATGGAACCACTGAGATCTTAAAAGCTTCCTTGGTGTAATAGTTGGATTTCCTGAAAATTGTTATGAAAGATTTCATAAATTAATGGTAATATTTAATAAACTAAATTTGATTGAGACCACCAGTAAAAAAAGCTTATTTTTTGCATTTTATTTATCAGTATTATTTTAAAATTATAATATCAACCTAACAACTTTTGTTTTAATGACGGCAGCATTCAAGCTGACATGAACTTTATTTATTTGTATTATTCTTTTTTATGTGGTTAATATCACAAATTTTACAAAATACATTTTACAAATGTATTTATTTATTTAATACATATATTACATTTGGATCTCAGATTTTTATGGTGGTCCTAGACTTTTGGACCCCATCAAATAATGTTCTATCAAGCTGTAAAGAGCCTCTTATCTCTTTTACAGAGTAAAAATGTTACCAGTAAATTTGCGCAGGAGCTGTGTGACACTGTGCAGCACTCCATGCTCAGACAGAGTTTCCATGTACTCAGACTCCCGTCCTGCGATCCATCCACAGAGCATGTGTCCATATCTGCAATCAGAAAAGAAATATCATATTTATAATGGCCTAAACTGTAGTAGCTATTTAAAGCAAAATTAAAGACTATGTTTACCTCTCTGTGGGCTTCAGCACAGTGAACCTAATCAACTTTCTGATCCAGGAGTTCTTTACATCAGAAACAACATCAGCAAGATGTGTCTCGTCCTCCCAGACGAGGTAGATCAATTCACAGTCTTCATCCCAGAAAGGCTGCTCGAACTCAAGAAAAATCTTGTTGTTGGTCCCAAAGCCCATTCTCTGGATGGAGTGCAATTTATGCAGTGGAAGAGGAGGGCTCAGAAAAGTGCTCTGGTGCTTCTTAAGGTACCCTGTAATGAAACAGCACATCAGATATCATGCAGAAAGCAACAATGTTCTCAAAATTACATTATGAAAATAACACCTAAATCAATCTGACTTTACAATCAGGTTTAAAAAATGTGTGCTCCATGCAGTACTTTTTATTTATTGTTCTCAGTGGCTTTCTTTCAAATTCAACTTAGATTTAACTTAATAGATAAATAGTCAGATACAAACTGTTCACTAAGCTAACAATTAATGCTGAATCTATACATACCCAGTGGGACAGTGACAATAACATGGTCTGCTGCAAATGTCTCTCCATTCACACATTCAATCATAATGGGGAATGATGTTCCTGTAGTTTTTGGTCCATTCTTAGTGTAGTTCCAGTGAATGCACTTCACTGGCTTGTTGTACCAGACTATGTCCTTGGGAAGTTCCTTCAACATGTGATCAATTAAACCTTCATAACCTCTAGTGGAAAAAAGAGAATGCATTGTATGAAAACCTTGCAAGATAAAATAAAGCATTATTTAAATTGAGACAATTTGAGACACTAGATTCAAATTCTCCAAGAAAGGCTTTGAGTCTCTGGGAGACTCTGGGAAAAACCATGGGAAAGTGCAATCCAATCCTGGGAGAGTTTTATACATGCCGAAGGCTCCCAGGCCTACATCATCCATCGTGTGGGTTCCACTGACACAGCACTCCACCTTCAGCAGTGTGTTTATCATGCCCAGTCTTAATGCAGTGTTAGCCTGGTCCTCCTTCCACTCCTCTGGGGCCAGTCGTTCAACCTCAGCCTTGACAAACTCCCCAACGCTTGGCAGAGGTTCTCCACCACTGTCATGGAACTGCTGACTCCTTTCCAGTAAGTTTATAAAAAACTCCACCACTGGCCCCAGTTTCCGACCTGAACTGGTAAACCAGTTAGGAACAAACCGGCGATGATGAACACCAAAATCAATGGCCTGGTTTTCTTCAGACATTGACTTTTTGTTAAGGAGCTGGTAGTCACATGCCAAATGAAACACAGGGTTTTCCGTCGATGGGCCATGGATCCAGTTGATGCGGATCTCTATAATGTTATCACCTTGAACAAATAGAAAAAAATAAATGTGAAATGCATGCATGGAGAAGACCGGGACTATGTTGGCACACTATATAGAATAAGCTGCAACAATGAAATCAAGCAACCTATTATAGGCTTTTCAGCGAAATGTAAACAGTACAACAAAAAGCAAAACATGAATAGTAAAAAAAAAAAAGGAAATATCGTAATTAATAAATTCTATAAACTTGTAATATTTACAGCACGTCTGACAACTTGATCCGACCTGACATTTACAAAAAATATATTTGTCCTCAGAATTAAACCTTTCAGTTAAAATGTACTTTCATCATATTTGACCCTTGCCTGACCGTATTCCAGTGTGGTTGTATTAGGTTCACATGTTAAACCAATAACTATAGAAAAACAGAACTATTCATTTTATAAGCTCATCTAAAAGAAAGCACTATAATGCCTGAACACACCCAGTCTGCCCGTTCGTATTCTCCCCCCGCTTCTCGCAGTCGCTTCTATTATGTGTACATTATAAAAACCGTGTTTAAGTCATTTCTGAGCGGCACCAATTCCTGAGATGCCACATCCGATTATAAATATCTGAGAATCACGTGCTGAACGTTGTGCCATCGAATCTGTTTTGTGCACGACACTCTCATGGAGGACTGAACTAAATGTTTCGTTCAACTGAGGACTCCAGCTCAACGCTCCTCCCCTACTCATGTGAACTGTACTTGACTCCAGAAAACTTCACGAAGACTCTTGTCTAAATCATTCTATGCCACTATTTCAGGCTGTTTCTGTAGGCGTAATTTGCTGGTGGGACGGCTGTAACATGTCCCCACCACTTTTTACCCAAGTCGATTTTTGTCCCACTTTTTGAAAGCCATTGAAAAACGGCTTGCGGAAAGTACAGTACAACACAGAGAAAAAGCATATCCAATCTGTCATTCTTCAAAATTAGACTTTATATGTAGCATCTGGAAGTGACATTAATGTTTACAATACCCATATTTGACCAATGGAATGCGTATTTTTCAGTGGAAACGCCTTCTGAATGACTGTGATCTTTGAATTGTAGAAAGACACTTAGGCCACACGTGGCATGTCATCAGCAACCGCATTTTTCATAAATATTCTGGCGATTTTTTTCCCATAATCATATTTCATATGGACCATGCAACAAACGAGATACCAAAAGTATTGTATCTTAAAGTTTAGTTATTTTTTAGGACAAAAGATGCGATAAAATCTTACCCAAAACCTATAAGGTGTAGTTTAAGAACTTACTGTGTTGTTAAGTGCTGTATGTAAAATCTGATGAGCGTAAAGAAAGCGTATGAGAATGTGGAACAATACTAGTGTAAAATGTGAAAAATGTTGGAAAAACACATATGCTACAATAAAACAAATATAATGCTCTGACTATATAATTACATGACAGATAATATAGTATGTGGTCATAAATTAATCTTCACCAACAGGCAATTCCATTTATATCTTCATTTATGTTCCAAAAGTGTGCATTTAGCACACGTTTGTTCACAACAACGTAATGACACCACATAAATTGTAATTCTATCTAGTTGTATTAATTTTTCAAAGAAATGAGAGGTATATAAACAGTGTACTTTAACTGTTAGAGTTTCTAACCCATAAATACCAGCTGTTTTAATGCTTTAATACATTACAGTAAGTTACAAAATGGCATTTTGTTATACAAACGTGTCAAGGGACACAAAGGTTTTTTATGAGATAATTGTTTTGAAAAGAAAAATCTGGAATGATCCAGATATGGTTATAACAATTTGAATGATTTTACATGATCATAAACATTTGGGACAGTTTAGATTATAGAAAGTGAATGGATGGATAAAGGGGATAATCATAGCCCAATTTCTATGAAGAATTTAATTAGAAAAAAAATTAAGTATATTATGAGTAAAGTATTATGAGAAACTATGTTTAATATAAAAACTTATTTTCATATCACAAAAACAATTAACATTTGTGCAAAGTACTGGCTCTCAGTAAGATTTTTTTGTTAATTTTGACACCCATAATCACCTCCTGAATCAATTATCAAACTTGGATGGCATATTGAACATGTGTCATGCAGTACATCCATGATGCTTTAAATAATTCAGCAGTTACATTCAAATTTTCTTTCTATTCCCTTTCTAAGGCACAAAATCCTTCAGACTCATGAAAATGACTGTCGATCCTTCTCACTCTTCAGAATAGGAGGACAGTTTTCATAGTTTAGATGAGAATGACCCGGAGGCAGGAGTGTAGTGAGATGTAAGACGCTCTGCTTCTCTCCAGCCGCTCAGCAACGCTCCAAAAGACCTGTTTCTCCTGCAAATAACACCTGCAAAGACTGCAAAAATAAAGTGTCATTCATATTATATTATCAATTAACAAAGTAAAGAACTGTCAAGAGTAAAGAGAAAATGTCAATATATAACGTACTGTTCAAAAGAAGAATGAAATCTAGTTGCTTGAACAAACATTGACAAAATGAGAGTAGTTGCACCTTAGAATTTGAGCCTTTCAGCGGCAAGGGTTCAGCAAGGTTATCTATGTCATATCCTGAGCAACCTTTGGCCACATAGGTGTAAGATCCACAGGAATAGGGTTCATGGAACCACTGAGATCTTAAAAGCTTCCTTGGTGTAATAGTTGGATTTCCTGAAAATTATGAAAAATTTCAGAAGTTATTTATTTCTTTATTTTATTTCTTTATTTTTTTTTTTACATGTGATCTGATCTGTATATTTCCAGGTATTAAATTAGATTTTTAATCCCACATTTTTAGTGTGGTCTCAGACTTTTGGACCCCATCAAATGATGTCCTATTAAGCTGTTAACCTCTAGTACATAGTAAAAATGTTACCAGTAAATATGCGCAGGAGCTGTGTGGCACTGTGCAGAACTTCATGTTCAGACAGAGTTTCCATGTACTCAGACTCCCGTCCTGCGATCCATCCACAGAGCACATGCCCATATCTGCACAACAACAGAAAATAAATGTCATATTTATTATGGCATAAATTGCAGTAGTTGAAGCAAAATTAAAGACTATGTTTACCTCTCTGTGGGCTTCAGCACAGTGAACCCAACTAACTTTCTGATCCAGGAGTTCTTTACATCAGAAACAACATCAGCAAGATGTGTCTCGTCCTCCCAGACGAGGTAAATCAATTCACAGTCTTCATCCCAGAAAGGCTGCTCAAACTCAAGAAAGATCTTGTTGTTGGTCCCAAAGCCCATTCTCTGGATAGAGTGCAATTTATGCAGTGGAAGAGGAGGGCTCAGAAAAGTGCTCTGGTGCTGCTTAAGGTACCCTGTAATGAAACAGCACATCAGATGAGTTATAGGTCTTGCAGATATTGTAGCAATAAAGGTATGAAGCAACATTATGAAAATTATTTTTTATTCATATAAAAATATGAAAATATATTATTTTAAAATAATGTTATAAGCAATATTATGAAAACTAGAAAGACCTAAATCAATCATCTGACTTTGTAAATCAGACAAAAAAGCAGTACTTTTTATGAACTTAAAAGTGCATGCATTTAAAGTGAACAGATTATGCTAGTTGCAATTACCAGACCAATAACGTTGATTACAAATAAGTGTTAGATGCTAATTGTTCACTCGTTCACATTAAGTCATGCTGAATCTATACGTACCCAGTGGGACAGTGACAATAACATGGTCTGCTGCAAATGTCTCTCCATTCACACATTCAATCGTAACAGGAAATGATGTTCCTGATGGTCTATTCTTAGTGTAGTTCCAGTGAATGCACTTCACTGGCTTGTTGTACAAGACTATGTCCTTGGGAAGTTCCTTCATCATGTGATCGATTAAACCTTCATAACCTCTAGGAGGAAAAAAAGAATGCATGAACATGTTTAGTTTGCAAACTTTACAAGATTTAGCATTTTGGAATTGGATAATTGAGACACTTCAAAATGTACAAGAAAGGCTCTGAGACTTACCCTGGGAAAGTGCAATCTAATCCTGGGAGAGTTTTATACATGCCGAAGGCTCCCAGGCCTACATCATCCATCGTGTGGGTTCCACTGACACAGCACTCCACCTTCAGCAGTGTGTTTATCATGCCCAGTCTTAATGCAGTGTTAGCCTGGTCCTCCTTCCACTCCTCTGGGGCCAGTCGTTCAACCTCAGCCTTGACAAACTCCCCAACACTCAGCAGAGGTTCTCCACCACTGTCATGGAACTGCTGACTCCTTTCCAGTAATTTCATGAAAAACTCCACCACTGGCCCCATCGTCTCAAGCCCCAGTTTCCGACCTGAACTGGTAAACCAGTTGGGAACAAACAGCGGATGACCACCAACATCAATGGCCTGGTTTTCTTCGGACATTGACTCTTTGTTAAGGAGCTGGTAGTCACATGCCAAACAAAACACTGGGTTTTCCGTCGATGGGCCATGGATCCAGTTGGCACCGATCTCTATAATGTTATCACCTTGATCAAATAGAAAGAAAAAAAAATGTGATATACATCTATGGAGAAGACCATGGCTAGCTTTTTACGGTACTGAATATTTCTCTAAGTAAACAAAAAAATTTAAAGGGGTCATATGATGCGATTTCAAGTTTTCCTTTCTCTTTGGAGTGTTACAAGCTGATTGTGCATAGATAAGATCCCTGAAGTTGCAAAGACTAAAGTCTCAAAACCAAAGAGACTTTCTTTATCAAAGTTAAAACTCTGCCACGCCCCCCTAAAACAGCTCGTTCTAACACGCCCCCACATATCTACCTCACTATGTGGAAATATTTGCATAATGCCACCCAAATGTGCACGCAAAGAAAGAAGGCGTGGTTTCAGTAACCGCAGTTAGTGTTGAAGCAGCCATGTCAGGGAGACGCTGTGTGTTTCTAGGCGAAAGCAAAAGCACTTTATTTGGCCTTCCGAAAGTAGATGATGACCCCTTTAAAATACTGAACACTGATTAAAAATTAGGCAATATGCCTAAATTTAAACAGTAAAACAAGTATAATACAAAACAATTAATACAAAGATATATATATATATATATAGATATATA